CCCTGCTTCATCAGCTGATCACCTTCCTCATAGGCATGGTCGACGCGATGGGCAAGTACCTCTTCGGCGCGTTCTGGGCTAGACTACAGTGGGCAGCCATGGGACTCGTGGCCATGGTCCATGGTGGTGGCTGCGGTGCTCGGGTCTGCGCTGGGTTTCATGGCTTGGTTCGTGCGCGCGGCTTGGGCGTACACCTCGGTCCTCATCGAGGCGCTGAAGGGGTTCGCTGGCGGCAGCAAGACGGCGGCCCCACGGCCGCGCTGGTGCGGCATGGGCCGAGCGAGGCGAAGGCGGTGGATGAAGACTACATCAAGAGTGGGGTCCGAGCGAGTGGAGGGGGGAGCCGAGAAGATGATGCCCAACGACCTCGTCGTCAAGTCTGGCGGCTCTGTTGCGCGACTCAAGCAGGGGCCCCTCAGGGGCGGCCGCATCACTCGTCACAGGGTACGTCAACAAGTTCAAGGGACCTGAAGACCGACCTGGAGGCTACTAGGGGCGACGATGGCATCGGCCAGGTCCACCTGCGCGCGGCCTCCCCATGCGCCCTCCCCGAGGCCGACCGGCCGATGGTGCGCGTCAGCTCGTCGCGCGTGGTAAGCCACATCTCGCGAGTCAACGCGCCCGACCTGGCCGATCTCACCCCGGCAGAACGGGCGAGGGCAGGCGGTCGAATGCGCTGCGCCTGGGGGGGCCTAGGGGCGGGGCGAGCGCGCTGTAAGGCGTTCGGCTGCTGCGCGAAGAGACGCTGGAGGCGCCCGAAACCCGGTCAGAAGCCAGGCAAGATTGAGGAGATGGACCCCAACTCGGAGACTGAATCGGGACCCAGCATTGACGTCTGCCAGGCCGACCAGATCGCGCACATGACCACAGGGGGCACGCAGGTCCTGAGCGCCAAAGGCTGTCGGGACGCCGCGAGGCAGGACCCCGTCCACCTGCTGGTCGAGGATGCGGCGATCTCGGACGTGCGCGACGCCCCGGAGGAGGGCGGCACTCGCGCGTTCAGGACCTGTCCGCACCGCGCAGGCATCTACGAGAGTCAGGCCGCCCCGAGGAGATGCGCCCGCTCTCGCTGCCACCGCGAGAAGACTGTCGAGAAGGACGGCTTCTCCCTCTGCGCGGTCTACGCTGCAGATCGAACGGTGGGCCGGCGTAGTCGCTCGGGCACGCCGCAGCCAGAGGAGGATCGCCAGGCCAGCACCCGTCGCTCAGACAGGAGGGAGGCCAGGAGGCCCGACGGGCAGCCCTCCGGCACTGCTGCCAGGAGGGGCAGCCCGGCCAAAGCAGAGGCAGGATCAGCCTGGCTGGTCCACGTGCGAGACCCTCTGGCGAACGCCGAGGCCGAGTGGGACGCGTACTATAGCTTCCCCGCGCGCTTCATCGGCCCCGCCAAGGACAGCGCGGACGACGACCCGAGGACGAGCGTGGAGGCCGCGGGCTTGGGGCTGACCTTTTCCATCCCTGACGGTGCCTTCCCAGCGCCCAGGGCGGAGCTCCTCGGCGACTTCGCGAGCGCCCAGCCCCCCGCCATCTGCTGGAAGTCGGGGGTGGCTATCAGGCTAGGCTGCTCGACGACGGGGGCGGCGCTAACTGCCGGGGGGCAGCCTGAGCCCCGCGTCGGCTATCGCCCTCAGCAAGGAGCGCATCAGGCACTACATGGCCAAGCGCACCATGTCCAGGAGTCGCAGCGCCACTCCTCCGAGGAGGGGCACGCGGGGCGACCTCGACGCGAAGCTCAGAAAGGCGTAAGCGCAGGACGAGGAGCAGAGGGCGCACGACCCGCACGTGGCGCTCATCTCGAACTACCTCAGCAAGCGTGCAGAAGGCCAGACGTACGCTGGCGCGCGGCGCGCCATCTCGCACCAGAACGGCGCGGGCAGACACGAGCTGCTGGCGGAGCTCATTGAGGCGGCAGATGCGATGCACGACGGCGATCTGCGAGGTCAGCCTCAGCCTCGCGCGCGGATGTCTGGCGACATGGAGCAAGGAG